ATCGATCGGCCGTGGAAGGAGAAGCGACGAGCCGCCGCCGCCAGGAGCCACCGAGAGAGGAGAGAGCGAAGAGAGAGAGAGAGAGCTAGCCGAGGGCCCGCCTCTCTCGCTCTCGAAGCCCGAGAGATATCAGATCGCTCGTATAAAACTATCGTATCGTTTAAATACGCACTGAAAGGTGAGGCGATGCATCAGAAGATACGCGNCCCTTACCGTTCGCCAAGCCCGCGTCCTCCTCCCGTTCCATCCGCGCTGTCGATCCGCGCTGAAGATACCCGCCTGGAATCCATGGGAACCACGGAGAACCAGGCTTAACGCGTATAACCCCTTCCCAACATCGCGGTGCAGCAGGTCCTCCACCCTGGAGGACCGCTCACGCCTCACCTCCGTGGGTCTCCCGCCCGGCTTGCTCCGCTTCTACCCTCGACACACGTGTACGCACTTTCTTTCTTTTCACTCGATCTTCCTCGCCTTTCTATCTTCCTTACCTTCGGCAATATGAATCGACCGTGGTCCTATCGACTTGCGCCTGAACACAGGTTTCTAAAGACGAACTTTCATCAGAGTCGTTAGATTCGGCATTTAATATCGAGTGCTTTACGAAAAGCGATAACTGGTTTTTCACGTTTGATCGACTTCCGTTCGGAAATTAAAAGTTTCCTTCGTAGAAATTTCTTACGTAAATGAAAAAAAAAAAAAGCGGAACTTTCAGAACCGGAATATTTTTAAGGGAGAAATTTTCGAGGAGATGAGACGTCGATTCCGATGAGTCTGTGAGACACTATGCGCGCGAGAGAACGAAAATGACGAAATGGTAAATGGCGAAGGAGAGGATCGAAATAGCGCGTCTCGTGGCCGCGGCGCGACGATTGATATTATCGATCGTCGCTGTTTATATCGGGATAATTGACAGAAGACAGCGCGCATCGAGTTTCTGAAAAGGACGAGATGCGATCGCATCGCATCGTTCCGCTCGATATTCACGCCGCCTGCCGGTCTTTCTTTTCCCCTTTTCGCTGGAATCCGTAATTGGGCGGACATTCCACGTTATGAGTTAATCCCGGCGCGTGTTGTCGGCGTCGGCGGAGATCATATCGGCGCGCGCGATTCGAGATCCGCGAGAGACGATCTTATTTTTCGACGGATGTGCCGTTCACAACGAGGCTGAGAATGGCGGCGCCCCTCGTCGTTAGTCCGACGAGAAGACGCACTGAAATTCGCTCGCATTTAAATTCTGCGCCATCGATTTGACTCGTTCCTTGAGGCTTGTAAGGTATGACGGTACAATTAGATTAGAATTTCATTTTATATCGCGATCAAAATAATAAAAGAAAGGAAACGTGCCGCTCCAACGCTTGGACGCAATTTATCAATCAATATATTAATCCTATGCGCTCTGAGAACGTATATTGAAACAAAGCGTTACTGTTCAAGTAATATTTATTTGATCAATTTAGAATGATTACTCTAATACTTTTTAGCAAATATTTATCAGAAATAAACATATTATTGATTACAATATGATATTTCCTTCGAACCGTCTTACACTCATATTCAGTAATTCATTTATAAATCAAGGTATTACAAGGCGTTCAAGTAGGTAATTCTACAAACTATTAATGTACACTTAAATTGATGAAGATATTACTTGATTCAAGAAGTTGGAAAAACAAATAATTACCTTTGTTTGAATCTAGCATTTTTTTTCTGTGTGACAGCGCCATTTTTTAAAATTTTCCAAAATTTTGTATAAAACTCGAATAACAGCGCCTTTCAGGCTTTAAGTTTAAATCTAAAACCGTGACACTGCGCCTTTCAGGTTTCAAATTTCAATCTAAGAGCTAGCCACAGTTAATCTTAAGATCGATTTGAAATCCGGTAGGGGCGTCATAGAGCGATGTCTCTCGAGTTCTGTGTATTTTTCGAGTTTATAAGAAATTTCGAATGACGCCGCTGTGACATCCACGTAAAGCGCAAAAAGTTAACAGTGACACGAAATAATTCGAAGTACTGATCTCCCTCAAAAAGCCGAGGGAACGTGAAACACACGTACAGAATGCGGAAATGGAAAGGTAGTTGAACGCTGGTCGCTCGTTGGTTTTGCAAGAACCGGATGCATATAGGACCTAGAGACAATGGGCGACGAGCGGGTGCGGTAGCGATCTTCCGTCTCATAAAGGGGGAGGGGAAGGTGAAGCCGCGCGTCGCGCGCATTGTCCGCTTAATGATTGAGTGGAGACGTGGCAGGTGAAACCGAATACAGACGAGGAGCCGCGCCGGCTCCGTGGATCCCCGCGGGTCCACCCAGCGCGGCCAGACAACCGTGGACCCGAATTGTGGGACCCGCGGATGGGCGTCTGCTCCCAAGACCTTCGACATTGACGATACCCCTTTCATCCGAGCCCATCTTTTCGTACGGTCCGTTTGTGATCGGCGCCACCCACATCTCACGGAACTACAAGATGGAATTTGCAATTCGATATCTTAGGCGAAGGGTGCGTACGGACTCAAGGTGATTCGAGTGATTTAAAGGGATAGGGTCGGCACGGCACACCCCAGAATCGCCGATCTTGATTCTTCGTTTTCGGAATCGCCGAGAGAATCGCCGGGGAAAGCTATTGATATCGCAAGGTTTCATTACGAAGCAACATTTACTTTTCCTATCCGATATTAAACAATTCAATATAATTAAATATGGTTCGTCGAATACGACGATTTCCTTTCACACACCCAACGTGAATATTCCATTTTTAATTAATATTTTTATTTTTTTTATTTTAGTACCAGGCAACAGGATGACGAGAAAGAAATTTTGGCACAAATTTATCTCTCAACTTTCACTTCTAACTCTCGATTTTACTTTTAATTCTCTATCCGTGCGTCTTCTCCTTTACTCTAAAAAAATTCCCGAATCCTTTCGATGTAACCGTGGAATTTTCTTTCCTCATGAAAGAAGGAAGAAATCATCATGATGCTTCTCAAACACCGGATTAGCACGCTAACCGCGCGCCACTGATCCCTAAATTCTTTCCTCAAATAAAGAAACGACAATGTAGAATTCACACGCCTATCTCAGGAGTGGATTTTCGCGAGTGCGCTCGCACGTTGCGCGCTCAGGGATTTCTCACGTTCGCGGAAAAGCGCCCGAAGAAGCATTAATCGCGTGCCGCCGCAACGGTTAATTGGCATACACCGGCCTTTATTTCGCCACATAAGCAACTACCGGTGTGTGCACCGTGTCTAATGTCAAATTACATCTTCCATCGCGCGTTTATCTCGTGTACACGACGGCTGAATAACGATGCGCGTAGATCTCTCTCGCAACGGACCGTAGGAGTGGACAGTACCGATCTATATAACTCGTTCACGGCTGAACGCTGTCGTAATCGGATCTGCCTCTACGGATTAACTGACCTAGATCATTCGGCCAGAGTAACGATCTCTGTAGAACTCCGTGAGCGTTCGTCGAGAGAGGTTACTCAAATGTTTCTAGGACTATAACGCCGCTGGCAGATACAAAGTAAGCAGTGAGGAGAAAGTGGTAAATCAATGTACAACGTGTGTGTATCCTGCGCGTTTACGTTACAGCTAGCACAACTATATCAAGAGATATCATTAGAGGCTTGCGAAAGTTCGTGGGATCGCCGATGATTTCATCGGCTCGAAAGACAAATCGTTTTGTAGAAGTGGAATCAGATAATTACCTGGAAGGTGGCAGGCAGTAATGAATATTCGTGACAGATTTGATTGAGTGTAACGTGTAATGAAAGAAACACACCTAAATGTTCGACGAACTTTTGCAAGTCCGTAATACTATGTACGCACGGAGAAGAAAGATGATTGGTTGATGTAACGTGACAACAAACGAACTTAAACGCGTTTTCATTGAAGGAAATAAAATGTCTAGTTCGTATGAATTAAATTCGGTTTTTTAGGATCAGAAATTCTGTTCCCTTCAACTATGCCGCTTTTAAATTCTGCTTTTAATATCTTCTAAACTAAAAATAAGATTTCCGTGAGAAACTGTTATAATGTTAAAGAATATAATATGCGGACATTATATACAAACTTCAAAATTATTGATTGTTTCGTTCCAAAAATGTAACGATGTAATGCTCATAATTTATAATAATGCCCAAAATACATGTGCACATTACTTATATACATTTCTCTGTAACCTGTGCATACCTATTAAATCAACTGACACATCAATATAGAATTATTGAAAAAAATGCGAAATAATAATATTTTCATATTTGTAACATCGTGCGCATATATTTATCTCAACTTCGTTTCAAATTGACATTTATTACTTAGATAAAATTAATAGGAAAAAGATATAAAAATGTAATTTTGCCCGATAAATATTAAATTTATGAGCGCCTTGATGCGCCTCTGAAAACGCGACACTGAACCTTATTCCCTTAATTCAACCAATCCTATTTTCTGTAAGCAATATAATTTAATCATATATTATATATCGATACGCAGCGTGCATTGATATAATATGTAATTACACAACTAAAAATAGAACTGTACGCGATCCTGCAGTATCTTTGGACGGGCCCTTCGCGTCTATAGAACGGCGTCATTAATTAATGTATCTCAGGAGTCCGGCACGTACGCAAGTAAGCACGCACGCACGCACACGGGAAGGCCCGAAATTGTCTTATTTGCCGGTCGACGCGTAATCCGATTTGTTTCCCGAGCGATCTGATTGCGCGACCTTCTTCAACCTAACCCTCCCGCCTGACCCTCGCCGACGTTGCTCCTTATCTGCCCGGCATCCTCTCCGAGACCTCTTTGAGACTGCGTGCGACGGACTCTGGCAAGATTCTTGCCGATTCTTTTTTTCCGCCCGCCGTCCCTCGCTTTACCGCGCGCATATGCGCGCCGGACGCGCCTCTTCTTGTTTCGCGATCGGTGATTTACGTCGCGGACCACGCTACCACGGTAATAGTCCATTAATTGATCCCGGATTCCCCGCCGTGTGCTTTCAGATACGCGGGAGACGGGTTTCGTGAACGCCATCACCGCCGCCGGAGTTACTTATGCGGTTACCAGAGCCTGCACTATGGGTGACCTCATGGAATGCTCCTGCGATAAGATGACGAAGGGTAAAAGCTTGCTTCCCTCCTTTTTTCGCGATTTAATCCGCGCGTCTCGATTCCGGCTCTCATCAATTTCGCATCGGAGCGGACCTATAGTAATCTGTATCTATAGCGAGGCTTTTAAGAGCGCGATACTTCCGAAATGTTGTCGCTTTCCGAGAAAGATCATCAGGGAAGGATCGAAATTCGTCGTTCTCGAACATTGAGAGAAATTTCTATTCTTATTTTAATTATGAGTAATATTATAATTAGCGGTATGTTTTGCGTCTATATTTTTGGGGAAAAAACTCTTGCGTCTTATCATCCTCACGATTTTCTTGGAAAACTGCGTGAATTAGCATTACTTCACATCGAAGTATCGCGGACTTCACGCGCGATATCGTCGAGCTTCTCGCGATTAAGCTCGGGAATGGGGGGAAATGGTGATTCCTGCAGGTAATCGTTTGGCGAAATTCGCGCGCACGGCCGAAGCGAAGAAAAGTTTGCCAACCGAGGGAGACTGGGAATGGGGAGGATGCGGCGATAACGTGAACTTCGGCTTCAAGAAGTCGCGGGACTTCATGGATGCGCCTTATCGAAAGCGAAGCGATATCAAGACACTGGTGAAGCTTCACAACAACGACGCTGGCCGACTGGTAAGTCGTTTATTGTATTTATTATACCTTGGACAATTTGGGCGATTTTTCACCCGACTGTGATCGTTTCTCCCATTTTATCTTGCTCGGCAATGGTAAGAAATTGGTTCTTTTGAGATCTGGATCGTATAACTGTGCAATTCCATAAACATATCATGCGCCATTCTTATAATCGTGTCTAGTTATATCTATAACACTTAGACTGCCACGTCGCCCATACATGAATGACGGTTTTAATAATTGATATGAGAATAGTTTTATGAATTATTTATAGAGGTATATTGAATGAAAACAATAAAATGTTATTTGTAATATAAAGTAATATATGGTGATGTAATGTATAGTAATGTAAAAAATAAAAAATTAACTTTATATATTTATTATAAGATAATCAAACTTACATGTATTTTTCGCGATATTTTAGTGAGCAATCTATTCAATAATTATGATTATTATTATATCAGTTTTACAAGAGCATTTACATTTGATGACATGTGAGATACGAAATTCATGTGGAAGGGTAGAAATAGATATAGATATCATTGTTCTTTCACTGGACATATAATTTACCTGTATTTACTGATTATGTATATACAGAAAAAAGTGCTAGATTCAAATAAATAATTACTCCAATATTCCTTAACATATTGTTACGCCCGTGTCTTGATGCCCGCGCTTTTAGCGCCCTGAACATACAGCTGATTCTCTTGGCAACGAGTCGTAAACAACAGATGATCAGCGTTGACGGATAAACAACGGGTTAGAGAGATTTCTCTCTGGGGCGGTCGAGTCGTCGTGACGTGCGCGACGGTCTTTAACGAAAGAGAGAGCTTGAGCCTGCGAGTTACGCGTGCTTCCTTGTGAATAGCAAACATAGTTGAAGTTGTTTCCTTTTTAACGTTGTCTCGTTTTATTTCTCCGCGCGAGCGTAACAATATTATTACTTGGATTAAGTAAATATTACTAGGATGAAGTAAATATTTGGCTTAGATAACTTACTTAGAAAATATTTTATTTCGGTCAAGTAATTACGTTTACTTGATCCGAGTAAACATTTGTTAAGGAATACTGGAGTAATTATTTACTTGAATTAAGCACTTCTCCTTCTGTATACGATTGCGCGCATTGCAACTTCGGGCCCCGTAGGTTTTAATCGAAGCCAGCTGGGCAGTCTAAGTGTTAACGCAACGGAATACTCGCGTTTCATCGCTTGTAAGTACTTGAACAACCGAGAATCGCACATAAATCGTTCGTCTCCACTTCATGTTTGCGATTTGGAAGCCCACGATTCCTACATTATCGTAACGACGGACGAGATCAGATTCACATCGATGACGAGAGAACGCGCTGTAGGATACCCTACCGCCGGTCTTCTTAACCTTCTTCCTCAACCCGGCTCTATTTCCGTGCATTGCCAAGTCGTTCCGTCAGAGCGGCGAAGTCAGGAGAGTACAGTGCCGGCCGACGCGTTATTTGCATTCGCTCCTCAGGCCGTACGAAACTTCATGCGGACCGAGTGCAAGTGCCACGGGCTCTCGGGCTCGTGCACGGTGCGCACTTGTTGGCGCAAGATGCCGCCGTTCCGAGAGGTCGGCAACCGCCTGAAGGAGTCCTTCGACGGCGCGGCCAAGGTCATTCCCAGTAACGACGGCCACAGCTTCATCACCGAGGGTCCCACGATCAAGCCGCCCGGCAGATTCGACCTTATCTACAGCGAGGACTCGCCGGACTTCTGCAAGGCGAACCGGAAGACCGGCTCGTTGGGCACGGCCGGTCGCCAATGCAACGCGACTAGTCCCGGGGTCGACGGCTGTGAGCTCCTCTGCTGCGGCAGAGGCTACGACACGAGAATCGTCAAGGAGAAGGTCAACTGCGGCTGCAGGTTCCACTGGTGCTGCGAGGTCACGTGCAACACGTGCCTCGTCAAGAAGACCGTCCACAGTTGCCGTTAACACGATGACGCGTAAGTGGCCGAACTTTCAGGGTATCGATGTGCACAACGTCGCGACAGCGTCGAGGAGCGGATTCACGCGCGATCGGTGGATCTCTGTGAGCGTTCGAGGGTGGATAATGCCGGGAGAAACGATCGGTATTCTTTCTTGCGCAAATGACACGTTACGGACGAAGGCGATGATCGAAGTGGCTGAAGGGTGAGAAGCTCGATTGCTGAAAACACGCGTATTCATTTGACGACAAGGAGGAGTAATCCGCGATCGACGTTCTCATTTATTCGTTCGACATTATCGGTATCTCTATGTGATATGTAACGTTGTTATTTCCTCTACTTGTTGTAACAGTTAGGTTCGTTCGATATGTACCCACGCGTACACTGAGAGAAAAATATATGATGTTTGCAACTATATCATCATAGCGAACGAATTATAGTCGGAGAAGCATTTTTCTAGTAAGTATCACTATAGTGTCAGTGATAATAACCTTACATGCTGCTATTATTTTTGCAGTTAAAACCATAAAAAGGGTATAGTTGAGATCGGAAATAATTTCTCTCGGTGTATCGACTGGCGTGCGTAAAGCGCGTTTGATCGTCGATTGTAATCAAGTATAATGTTCTGCTACGTATAATAGTGGACATACGTTGTCCCGCAAAGTCCAAGTCTTGAAACTTGAGAAGAGGAATCATTTTCCGAAAAGTTACAATCCCAAGAACTGAGTATGAGATGATGCACTTACAATTTGCACGGTCGTAAATTCCTTTCATGGTTCGTGTGCTACTATCTTTTTACTGCTCCTTGTTCGGGGGATCGCTCTTCGATTGTCAGTATCAATATTGATTTTCTACCGACGGAACGATTCAGCTGCTGATTTAAAATAACAGCCGTCATCATACACCAACAATATTGATTACGCCATCGACATTCGGAGAAAACTTCACATTAACTGTCACATTATACGTATTGTGTCTTGTATGTTTTACATATTGTATGTCTTACTATTACATAACTTTGTAAAGCAACTTTATGCTTCCAATATTTCGGGAGATTATCGAGTTTTCGGAAAAATTGCATGCTTTCAGTGTTTCAGCAAAATTGTATTTCGAGAGATCATCGAGGTACTCCAGTTTTCGGGATTGTGACTTTTCGCGAAATTGTCCCTCTTCTCGCACTTCGGAACATTTTTTTCCGGGACAACGCATATCCATCCGTATAATAACGTCTCTGTGTATAATATATCAATGTCTAGGATACGGCTTGATCGTATAGGATATTCGACGACGAGTGTTCGGGCGACATGTGATTTACGATTTTCTCGCGAGTGCACGCGTCTAGACTAGGTCTAGGTTACTGATAGAGATACACAAGATCTCCGAGGAACATTTATCGCGCGCTCTGACGCGCGCGAGAAGCGGGATCGAGGACAGTCGTCAGTAGTGCATGCGCGAGCCAAGTCAGACGCGGGTCGCGCGATGCGACCGTACGCGATTCGTCGCGTTTAACGAGACAGCTCTCGTGTCTCTGATTGCTTGTACGGCTACGAGTTATTAGCGACTGCGTAAGACCTACACGCAGCCTTGGCGTCTAATATTAACGATGGAAAACGTAGCATGTGTGCGATTCTAGCTCCGAACCGAGAAGTCCCGTCGAAGTCCTGTAAAAATTAAGCCCATTAAATGTGAAGTTTAACCCTGAGAATAAAGACCATATTCTACAATGGCGTGAAGTATGCAGTAAGAAAGAAGCAATAAGCTAATTGGCCAATTGGATTTTTACGGTCTAAGAATAATCAACTGTGGTTGGTCGATAAATTTACCGCTTACGTTTTATTGCGTACTTTACGCCGTTAACGGCCGCGGTCTTGACGCTGAAATAACATTATAGATCTCTCAGGCCTACATCGCAAAAAACAAATGGTAAAAATTGTGGCTTTTGCATCTTGATCTTTTATGAATTATTAAGTTTATCGCCATTCTTTATTTATTGCCTTTGTAAACCGGTTGCCGCTGGGAAACCAATTATCTCATTGGATCAAGCTGATGATAGCGGTGGTCACATGAACCCAACTTTTTTTCCCGAGTAATAGAAGAATAGAAATGGGAAGTAGTATCTTGCATAAAAAAACGTGGAATAGGCGAAAAAAAAACGCGTGCAGGCCTCGCAGACCTAACATGTTATTCTGTCAGAGTTAGTGAAAATCTTACGGCTCGGTGTCAGCAGTCTGCGGGTTTGTAGTCGAAGGTTTTTACTATTACGATGATCAGGCCGATTCTGGGTGTCTCGAGGTCTCCTCGACTAATAATGGCGCGGATGAAAAGAGTAACGTAACGACAGTTTGGCCTGAATATATTTTCTTCTAATCGGCTATGCGTATCATTAGCCCAGGCAGCTATTTTCGACAATCGGTAAGACAGCAGCGAGAGATCTTGTCGACGAAAATTGTAGTAAGGGAAGAATCTATTTTTTATATTTATTTCTTAAGAGCGGATGTGCGGTCAATTTTGGATGTGTCTCAACGCGAACGAATCGTACCGGGGCGGAATTTGGGGCGAGCTAATCGCTTTCCTTTCTGCTACGTAAAACCGATCCCCGGCTATGTAGGATAGTTATTATCAGTATCGCCTACGTCGCGCGCGGGGCGATTAATTTCATTAATTCGGGTGTCGAAGCTTTCCACGTATCTCCAATGCTCGTAATACACTTTAAGACGTACGTATAAGTCGTATGATGAATTTATATAAAGCGTACCCGTCGCTAGGTGTCGTAATCATGGATATCTATGGAATACCTAGATTGCTAGCTTCTTTGTTCGCGAGCGGAAAAGTGAACACACCAGAAATTGTGTATTATGACATGCGTGGAATAACGAACATGTATATCTTATCGTCGTTGTAAGTCGATGTATCTATGTGTGCCTACAGGGAAAAATAATTTTGCTAGTGAAAACACCGTTGCTACTGCATATTCGTCGAAACAGTGATAAAATTTAGTCAGCAAAGCCAAATAAGCGAATTATTTGTAATTAGAGCAGAAACAGTTTTGTCGCCAAGATAGAAAATATTCTACCTAGTGAATTTGGACACGTTAATTTGCTGTTAGAACAAGATGGTTTTTCTACGTTTACTAACTTGTTCTTACAGCGAAATCATTTGTAGATTCAACAAAATAATCCAGCGAATGGCGATTAGTATTCTTAATAAATCGTTTATCGCTGTCCACATAGTAACTGACGGATTTTGTTTCACACAAAATTCGCTGAACCAGCGAATTATTTTTCTCCGTGTACCGGCACATACATGACATTCAACCAATCGGAAAATGACTGTCACACGGAGAAAACCATTCCGTTGGGACAATTGAATTTTCCGTTGCCTGGGGACCAAACGAAAACTCCATTGTAGGATCAGAAAGATTCCTGTAGTAAGTTTCTGCACAGTCAACTGCTCTCAGTCGTCCGAACCGAGTTTTAGTGCAACAGAATGCGAATGTTCTCGCATTCTGCGGTGACGAGATGTCGCTTCTCGTCACTGACGTGTTTTCCCTGTTGCAGGAACCGAGCTTTTTTTTTCCGTGCACATACTGCGTATACAGACGACGAATGCGCGAGATATTTGTACATATGTTTTTCAGCCGTGTATTTCGGCCGAGTTAGCAGTCTAGTTGTTCTACAGATAGACATCATCGCAAACAGACGTGGTCGTGACACGCCGGCGTTCGCATAGTAACGTCCGGCGAATTGCTTCTCCGCTTTTGAAACGCCTCCAGGTCGGACTGCCGATGCTACTTCCCGAGCCCCACGGTCAATTTGACGTCATGGGCAAGGAAAATACGCCACCGTGACGTTACACGTTACACGTCGAATCGAATTCCTTCCGTAAACGAAACGTCGATTACACAGCCCGAATTCTCCCGGGGCTCGGGGGACTGCGCTCTCGGGCTTTGCATATCCAAGTATGTTGCTTTTGCCGTCGCGTGACATAAGCTTTGTGCCATACGTTGCGATTCGATCGATCGACGCTTTGGCCACGCGTGCGCCGCGCCCCGCTAACGGAGAGGCGCACGCGAGGTTCCTTCGTTTCTCGAGTAATCGCTCCTTATCGGTCCTCGAGTCTCACCGCGTTTCATAAAACTTTCTCTCTTTTGTATACATAAGACTGAGTAATCGAAGTTTGCGCTGTCACGTGATACGAGTTAGATACGAATAAAATTATGTTCACGCGCGAATCTCGTCTGTTACGATTAAGGGTTTGTCGATTTGTTCGCCGATGAGCGATGATCGTGCGCAGTCTTAAGGCCAAATCACACCTAGCGATTGCCGACCGGATTGCGATTGACGATTATAAAATAGAGCATTTCTAAATGACAACCATTAATCTCAATAGGTAGCCGTTTTGCTCTGATTGGCTGCAAAGTAATCGCCAATCGCCGATCGTAATTCAATCGGCAATCGCTAGGTGTGATTTAGCCATTAGGGCGAAGATACGGAAGGATAAAAAATATATAGACGATTGTGTATTGCGAATCACGACGTGTTTTCAGTTTCACCCGGCACCGCGACCGATTTATCCCCGTTTCCTTGTCGTTATGAACCTGAGATCACAGGTAAGTGAGGATATCTTGTATGCCTTGATTATCTCGCGATAATCTCTCAAATATTTCCGAGATGACGCGCGCACGACGTATTTAGAAGATATTTATATCGCACAATGGAGGTATGCTGAAAAAGATCCATAAAAGTTTCACGCTTTAACCCTTTTCCTTTTTTGCGGTAGTAATTCTCCGTATTAGGTTTACCTTTCGAGTTTCGGTTTCTTTTTCATAAGTTTATGTCAACAGTTTTCATTCTCTATTTTAGCGCGGGCACTCGGTTAGTTTACCTGCTCTTACCTTAATTATAACTCTTATTTGGATAGGATATTTCGAAATCTCCCGTCAAACTCGCTCGGCGGGGAGGGGGAGGGAGAAGGACGCTAAAAACTTAATCTCGAAGGACGCCCCGACACGTCCTCGAGAACGAGTCGAGAAGTTTATCCCTTCGTTCTCACGTGCCTGGGAACGCGATAATAAGGATAAATTAAGGAAACGCCGAGAATTGAGAGGCCCCGTATATCACCGCGTCGTGTAGAACACAGGCTTTTACCTGTAATTTCGGTCTTATACACGAGAGTTTCACGGGCAATAAAGGACTGCTGCCATCTCTTGTAAAATAGTTTTACGGCGACCGGAAAGAGGAATTTCGCATAACCATAAAGGCCGTCAAGGGCTCGCGCCGTACCGTGCGCGCGCGCTCGCTCGCTCAGCGCGTTTCGGCGAGATAGCGAGGGGGCGGGGGGAGCCATAAAACCGAAAAGAAGAAATCCCTTTCCTCGCTTTATCTCCTTACATTTTCCGCTCCTGTCCGACTGTTCTTTTTCTCTCTTTTCTTTCCATCTTCTTTACCTTAAATTCTCAAGCTCGTGATAAATCCGGTGACGAGCGACAAACAGAACTTCTCGACACACCCGTCGAACGAGGCCGATTCGACGATCTGTTTGGCGAGCAACTAATGATTTCCACGGGAAGTTCCACGCGTAACGTCATCGTGAGCACGCGAAAGAGAGAGAGAGAGAGAGAGATAGATAGATCATTCGATCGACCCAAGCACCGGCGGTACCGCGCATTCCCACAGCGGCCACCCCAAAAAAAGCCTCTTTAAAGAAAAGACTCTTAGAGAGAGGCGAGCTTACACCCTCCAATTTAATACGTGACGCGGCACGGCGCGGCGGCGTGCGAGCGCGTCCGGGTAAAAGTCTCTTAATAGAGAGGTCGACCTCTCTCGGAGGTACGAAAGTGGTGAGGCGCAATTAGCCCCACCAAGGGGGACTGTCTGGACTCGATTAGCCCATGGCCAGGAGATTGGTCTGCAGCGGCACGACTGGGTGGTCCAACCGGGGTAATTTTCGGCTGCCGTCGACGTTCCCCTTCGGGGGAAAAATGGCCCCTCGAAATTGGCCCCGGACTTACCGCGCCGTCGGTCCGTGCGACGCCATTTTTAGAATCTCCTCCACCCTACCCCTCGTGCCGTGTGTTTCTGATTCTCGTCCCCTTCGAAGGCAGAGAGGGAGAGAGAGAGGGCGAGAGAGAGAAAGAGAGACGTGCCTTCGAGAGGAAGGGAAAGAAAAAGAGAGTGAGAGAGAGAGAGAGAGAGAGAGAGATCCCCAGCAAGAGAAGAGAAGGAGAGAAGAGAGAGCGAGAAAGAGTCGAGGCTCCCCGGTAATTCAATTTTGGGGGAAAAAACGCAGTATACACGCGGCTATATCGCACGCTGATGAAAACGTCGGACTGTCGGCGGGTCCGCACGGTGTGAGAACACGGTTTCGATCTTGGTTTTACCGCCGGCCATCATCTTACAGGGACGTGGCGGTGTAATTTTTATCGACCGAAAGCCAGTAACTTCTTAGTATTTAATTATTTACGTGTCTCATAGCCCCTGCGTGGAATATGTTGAAAGGTTGATGAATGGTCTCGCGAGAAAAACGGACGGAGATTATTTCGTTTTGATCTGTTTTTTCTTTTTTTTGTAATACACTTCACTTATATATTTACCGCATATCGTGCAGTTCTAAAGATGATTCGGGCTAAGCAAGCTTGCTTTAACCGAATAATCGCCCTAAAAAGTAATAATATATTTATTTATACGAAAATAACAGTCACAAAAGATCGCAAAAGACGGACGAAAGCACACAATAGCAGACTGACAAATACACGGAGGCGCAGAATGGATTCTTGTTGGTAATTTTCGGAAAATGCATTTTAACGCGCATGGATGATACCGGTCATCCGCACGATCACTGTAAGGTTAATTAAAAATGTTTGTAAAATCATTGTCGCCTCTGATGGGTCAACAATCCATCGTCCTCTTCCCGATTATTGTCCTAACCACGACATAGACGACGAAAGCGAATTTATTAAACCGACATCAGCTGTTCAACAAACCTGAACGCGTCTCAGCCACCACCGTGGTGCAGAATGGAGACTCTCNCTCCCCCCCCCCCCCTCCCCCCTCTCTCGCGTATGTTCGCGAAACGCATCCGCGGGTTTTACGTACGACAGGAACTCTCCCACGGCGAACGACTGTCCGACACCGTTCCCGGAACGATTAGGCGCGGAACAATGGGCCCCGCGGAACGCACGTGGGTCGTGACGCGCGACAAAACCGCAAAATGCGACCGTGATTAATCGGCCTTGGGCCGCCCTCTCCGCCTGCCGCGCAAGAACACGCCGCCGCGCCGCGGGAACGCGCCGTGACTCTATTTTCTTCTCTCCGCGCCGCGGCCTCATGCCTCGCGCCCGCGCAACCCTCGCGCTCGCGAGCGCTTAATGCGCGTGCACTCGTCCGCTTCGCGTCTCCGTGGAAGCCGATGATAAATTTCTATGGCAACGAGCGCCCGTTTGTTATACCTTCCTCGCGCGTCCCGCGCTGGACAATCTTCGCCGCGTTCTCCGGCGAATGCGCGGCTCGTGTACACCGGATGCAACGAGCACGGCGAGCAGAAGAAACGTCCTCCCTTCAATCTTATTCACGTCCACGGGAAAGAACATTATCACCGTTTTAAGGAGTTTTCACTTCGCCCGGGTGGACTGAAGAACGCGTCTTCACAAATGAACGTATCAGTATTTTCAGGAATTTTAAATAGTCGCAAGTTCTACATGCCGACATGAAAAAGAAAAATTAGCTGCTATAGTTAAAACCTAGCTTCCATAGGATAAAAATTAGCTTCTGCGGGTAAAAATGAGCTTTCCGTAGGATACAGCTGAAATTTAGTTAATTTTTAGCTAATTTTTTTATTCCTATACGTAGTTTTTAACTGTGGGAGCTAAAAACTGGTAACTGAATTTCAGTTCGGTTACATGGACAGCTAATTCTTGTTCTCCGAAGTCTTTCTGATTCTCCAGCTTAAACAACAGCTGCGTTCCGCAGAGAGAGAGAAGCTCAGTGAGCGCTTAATGATTATTGTCCGTGACTGGAGTATTCTTTTAGATTTTTGATATAGGTTCAAGAGAATATACAGAAAAAAGAAAATACCCAGAAAACAAGTATTAGAATCATGTAAACAGAACTGAACCTGTTTTTCTATCTCTTAAATCAAGTAATATTTTTATCGACTTAAATATATTTTAATAATTTTTAGTAAATACTACCTTGAATGCAATAATATCTTAATTTGTAAGAACTGATTGTTTCATCTTCGGGTAATCTACAAGGTATTTTTATCTAATGGATAAAAATATCTGAAAAGCTTTATCGTACAGAAATAAAATACAAGAATATGAAAAATTATCGGTATACTATTGAAGTACAATGATATATAATTTTTATCGTATTCTTTTCGTTTATTTCCGTAGATTTATTTCCGTAGGGAAACTTTTTCAGATATTTTTATCCATTAGATAAATTATCACATGGTTTATCCGTTTACTTTTTAGGGCGATTATTGGGTTAAAACAAGCTTGTTTAGCCCGAATCATCTTTAGAACTGCACGACATGTGGTAAATATATTAATAGTGAAGTGTATGAAAAAAAAAAAAACAGATCTAAATGTAAGATGAAACAACCGGTTTTAAACGAAGTGCTGGAATGTAAGTATAAAATGGTTCTAAATTTAAGAGAGTATTTACTAGAATTATATTTCCATTATTAAAGTAACCATTTTACTTGGACCAAGTATATATTACTTGAATGGTAGTAGTCTTTCTTTCAGCCAATCAGTATCAATAATTATTAGGCGCTCACCGTTCTCCGGAATGGAACCAGTTAAATGGAACCAATATATTATTATTGAAAAAATAGTTACTTTAGTTATAAGTACCGCAATCAGTAAAATCTCGCTGAAAGGGTTTAGCTGTTAGTAGTTAATGGAACACTGCAAATTTCACAGTGAAATCTTACTTTCACTAGCCAAAATTAACGAGGTACAAGACTGTAAGAGGAACGGTACGGGAGTGTTTTCACGGAAAATCAGTGAGTACTCACTGATAACGGTGAAATACGCTTTACCGATTTAACCGGAAACATTATCAGCTGATTCGCGTTGAGTGAGAGTGAGTTACTCTCTCCGCTGAACACAGGTGATGCTTGTTACACATGACGTTCACATAAAAAACACGAAACTTGCAATCAAACGGCCACGATTAACGGCCAACCTGCGTCCGGAGTATGCAATCCTGCAATGCGAAAGGAACACCTTCCTTTCGACGAACCCGCGATTCGATCTGCACGTACGCACCCGCGCGTTCGAAAATATCCTCGCGCTTCATCAAATGACGCACCCCCTGTGGAACAAGATGCACTCGAGGGAACCGGGGATTACGATGATGAGAATACCGTGGAGCGGACACGTCGTTGCTGTGGTACAACGAACGACCGCCAGCTCCGGGACTAATATACCCGGAGGAGCCGACGAGGAGTCCGTCGCGAAAACGGCGTACGCATACCACACGC